AATGGCGCAAATTACGTTCTACTTTATGCTACTCAGTTCAGGATTACTTGTTTGATCACAATACCACTTTTTACAACGGTGAAAGACATGTTAGCTTGGCCAGCTTGGCTTAGATTTCAACAGATACCGTCTTCAGCACAATCTTCCAAGTGGCTTCTGAATCACGATCATTATCACAGAGGCTTTGTTGAATTGAAATTTGTGTAGAATTTCAATATTTGATAGGAATAGACCTCTATAGTAGCTCAAACATATCAATAGGTTGATGCGTTGATGGTGATTCAGTACAACATGGGAAGCCATAGAGGAGGGCGGCTGTACACAGTGAGCTTCAGTGTGTCGACATGCCACAATAGCCGAATATCTGGCATATGGCCCCTTCAAATCATCCTACACCTGATATTATATTATGGTTGCACACGTGGTCCGTTGAAACAATTGATTGTAGATAACACTGCAATTATGAAAAGGAGCTTATATTGTACTATAGATTAAACGAAGTAGTTCGCAATGTTGTGCGACTGACCTACCATCCATTTTAAATAGGTCAGTATACTTAATCTGATGATTGGTTAGTAGTATATGGTGTCCTTTCGCATAGCTAGAGCTCTATGCCTTTAGCTTTGGTCTGAGTGAGGAAATGTTTAGTATGCAAATTCGGGGTTTTAACGATCTAAATATAAGCATTTCTACTCTACATTTGATTTTATTTATTATATGTCTGGTTTAATTAGTTTGGTAGCGAGCTGGTCTAGTGGTTAGAGTACGGGACTTCGGTCTCTGAGGCCCTGGGTTCAAATCTCACCAAATCACCAATGGATTTTATCTAAGTAATATTGCCGCAACCTCTGGGTCTAGCCTGAAGTAATGCGAAAAACAATCCCGGGCTCGTGCCTAGGACAAAATAATAGTTGGCATTGTTTGTGTTGGTTTTCACATATTATCTTAATATTTTGTTTCAATTCCAAGAGAATGACAATTTGTCAGTTTTTAGTTTAATTCTTGCACTAAGCAAAGAATTGTAAACCTCAAACACACCAGGAATGAGACTTGCCCATGTTTATAGGCCATACAAGTTGACTTATCTCCTCCTATGGCAAATCTGACACCTGTTAGGTGTGTTTCTTATTCGTCTTCTTTTTATTCGACTAATACTTAGCTGTTCTCCTATTTTAGGTTAAACAATGTAGTGTGCTATTTAATCTTAGATTATAACAATAGAAGACAAGCAAAAGTGTATAAGGAGTCTCACTTGGTTACAATAGTGAACACAAAGTTGGTGATACTTAAGTAATAAAATTAAAATAAAAACACCCTCCATGTAATATTGGACAGAAAATAAAACTCTCTTCAGATGAGATTAACAAACACTTATGACATATTTAAAGAGCATACGTTTTAATCTATAACGGCATTCACGGCATTCTTTGAATGCCGGTACAGATACATTGGATACAAAATCAGCTGTTATTAATGACTGGTGTAATGCAAACAAGTTATGTCTTAATGCTGATAAGACCCAAGACCTGATTATTAGTCTTAGCAGTAATGGTAATGATGTAAACACTCTGAAGTTTTTGAGTTTTCATTTGCAGTCAAACTTGAAGTGGTTTTCACATGTAGATTTTGTAGCATCTAAATTGTTAAAGGCATATTTATGATAAGAGTAATTAGGACCACTGTTTCAGTTGATGTCCTTATTTATATATATTATTGGAACATTCATAGCTATTTATCTTATGGTACCTCACTGTGGGCCAACAGTTTTTATGCTAACATGTTGATTTTTACTTTACAAAAGAAGGCGGTGAGGTTAATTTGTAGTGTGAATAGAAGAACACATTTTAAGCACCTTTTTGTGGATCTTAACATTCTCACATTTCCACCTTTGTATGTTTTGGCAAGTTTGTTGTATGTAAAAGAAAACATTTATCACTTTGAAAAGATATCTGATGTGCAGAACTATTGTCCTAGATCCAAATATAATCTGTCCACACTAAGGCATAAGTATACAGCCACTCAAAATAGTTTTGAGTGCCCATGTCTTAAAATGTACAATTTCTTGCCTGTCTCCATCAAAAACCTGTGTGTTTTATAATTCAAAAAAAGTTTTTAAAACTACTTTAACCCATGCTCGCCCGTACAAACATGAAGAGTACTTTGGTTTAGAGTTTAACTTATTTAAGTTTTAATGCCAGAGTCATCTTGATTGTTTTGTTTTTCTTTTGACGATTGTCATGAACTTTGTACATAGTTTTAACGAAGATAAATAATTCATTTCATTTCACGAAAGATTAATACATGAATATTCTTCGTTGCTAAAAGTAAATAGTAGCCTACTAAACTGTAGTTAATAAAAAAAAACATTTGTTTATTATAACATTGGTTTATTTTAATCACCATACCAGTTTAGCGGGTATTACCGCTGATCACTTTGGAATATAAACATTGTTCAGTTATTTCCATTGTTGTAATGGAAACTAATTCGAGATATACTTAATTACACTCACACGGACCAAAATCCTAGGACAACAAATTTAGATAAAATAAATAGATGTTCATTACACTCCTCATTAGTAATTAGGCTGCATTTGTTATGAATTCAGATAACTTGAACCAGTATTATTGTGTGATAGTAGGACAGGCAGGCGGATTTGCAGACATACACTATCCGACGAATTATAATACTTTTTGAGAAAACATAATTTTTTAAATACTATGGATGACGCGCGTGGAATATCCAGTTTGATAGAAACACCGAACTTAGGACTTAACTTCCGTTATAAGACTGTCATCAATGGTATACTTTTAAACAAATTTTTGGTTATGTATTGTCAGAAACCCAAGATTTTAGGCCTCGTTTAGTTTTTTAAAACTTTTTAGAAAATGAAAACTGATTTTATTGCTTAAGCTGAAGTAATTATTAAGCTTGATTTAAAAGCGTAACACTAGGTAACCATATAACAGAAGATACAAATTACAACTTTACAATGATTTGACGCCGGCTAAAACATGAAGAATGTCCACTGAGTATCCATTTCTCATGAGACGTCCTAAAAATGAGCCTGAAACCGATCATGTAAATCTCTTACTTTATGGCGTTCAACATATTAGTTTTTATCTGTCTAATTAAACTCCAATATGTGAAAATAAAACAAGGAAACTGATTTTACATGGTTTTACAAAGATTATTACGTATTTACAAGTCAAAGTTGTGTTCACGTTACGTTTTCGCACTGTCTTGGTATACAGATATGTGCGCATTGTAATAATGGATATATTGATTACATAGTTAACTCAGGTACGCTTAGATTTAAGTATATAAAACGTTGCTTTTTACTTTCACTCATGCTAGTAGCAATTATGTAGAGTTTACCTTTATCGATTCACCTTCACATACAACCCGCAAATGTATACCATTATTTTACAAAGCACAATGATAGGTAGAGAAAGTTCTTTAAGCTTACCTTGGAATTTTGAAGGGTTGGAGGGATTAAATGTTTTGAAGTTTTCTAAGTTTTGGAGGAGTAGGGCAGCTAATATATCCGAATGATTCGGCCAACCTGTAAAAGAAAGAAGACACGGTTTTAATTATAAGTAATCATCAATATATTATAATACGACAGCTGCGGATATTCAACCCCATCCATGGATATTTCCCAACATTATATCAATTCTCATCGGAGAATCTTATTGCGGCGCTCTCTAGTGCGTCATGCCAGACAGTATTAAAACATAGTACCAGTATAGTCTTTTATAGTTGCATAGGGGAAATTAATGAATGTTGGAAATGAGTGAGCCTACTGTAGACTGCCCTATACAGAGTGTCCCGTACGTAAACAGCCAAACTCCGGGAAATGGTTCTATGGGTAAAAATGAAGAGTAAATCTGTTTTCCAAAACCACCTCGTTAACCAGATATCCACCATTTTGTAGTTATTACATAAACACTTTTATATTTGGATTGTTGCAAACCGATATTTATGAAACTTGATGGAACCATCTTCATTACGCACACTGGTATTGCAGAGTCGCGCCGTACGAATTCTAATCTAATCTACTGGATTGACCAATTTCAAAGCATTTTATTATAAGAGGACCGAAGCTACACTAGAGGTTTTCCTCTAGAAAGGTAGTCCTCTTTGTATAACAGAACAAATTTTTTTCGCAACTTATGAAAGTGAAATAAATCGTTACTTATTGGCGTTTGTGACAAGTCTCTGGTTGGACGCAAAGATTCAGAAATACTTAAAGATATAAGAATGGGGTGCAAAAATACTTAGACATATTTTAAGACAGAATATGGTACAAAAAGAAGGACTTTGAAAAAAGCTCTCCAAAGCACTTAAGATGGTTAAAGCCTACGCGTCTGAGCCAAAGCACTTCCGGGGAAAACTTGATCTTCATTCATACCTCATGTGACTCAAACGCTACGTTCTCGTTTGATCTAGGGGTTGTTACTGACAATGGATAAATAAGGTGTCCAATGCGCTGATCTTTCATAATATGTGTCAAAGATATACAAAAGTTCTATACAAATGTCAGAGCATAGTTTTGTGTGAATGCAACTACTCTGTTGTTTAATCAATTTTTATGTTTGGGGTGACAAACATGTACTTTTTAAATTATAGATTGTTTCATTCGTACACATGAAAGCATCTTATTTTAATGCAAAACTAGGAAGATAGATAAATTATAATTGTACTTAGGATTGGATTTATTGCATCCAAATTTGAATTTAAGAGGTCGGTTTTTCCTGATTGACGGTGAATAGCTAAACTACCATGGGAGGGGTAACAAAAACTGCTTTAAACGTGTTGTATACAGTATAATGATGATGACG